TTTTTTTTTTTTTTTTTTTTTTTACTGTATGCTTACCTGGAGTTTGGTCATTCCGTTGTTGAATGCTTTCTTGGGGACGTGTTCTCGATTCTGGATGCACTTTTGTTTTTCCTACTGGGATGTTTGATTGTCGTTGAACTAATTGTGTGGTGTGCTGTATCGAATATTAATTTTCTTGCTTCACTGTTGGTAAGAGTAAGAATATGATTTATGTTTGTTTTTGCGGTTTGTGACTCAGTGCTGGTGGTAGTGGAGGCTTTTGTTTTATGTTGTTTGCTTCATGATTGATTGATTTGGATTCTGTTTCTTTTCCATTTCGAGATCAGTGGCTAACCTACTCAGTTGCGTCTGGGGATTAATTAAGAAGGATGTTCGGTTCTCCCAACCGTAAGTATTTCTTTTATTTTACATTTTAAGGAATTGTTGCTTGTCTTCGCATTTTCACATAGGTTTGTTATCCTAATTGCATCATATTTGTTAAGCTGCCGATCTATCTCAACCTATGTTTCATCTTTAAGTTGGGTAGAATAATTGTTTTTGTTTTTCATTTGAAAAAGAAGGGAAGGAATCAAGTGGAAATTTTTGGTAGAAGTATTTTTTAACTTTCTTTAGCTATTGTTCCGATCGAAATTCTAAGTTCTTGTACTAAGTGGGATTGTTTTGACACTCAGCTTTTGGGCAACCGTCTAGTAGCCCGTTTGGATCTCAACCAGTCTTTGGGCAAACTGCCAACGCAAGTAATAATCCTTTTGCACCTAAGCCCTTCGGCAGTACATCACCATTTGGCTCACAGGCAGGAAATTCAGTGTTTGGTGGTACAGCAACAGGTGTGTTTGGGGCAGCCCAGTCTTCTTCCCCCTTTGCTTCTTCAACCACAACATTTGGTGGTTCCTCATCGCCGGCTTTTGGAGCTCCCACTTTTGGATCAACATCAACTCCTGCTTTTGGTAGTTCATCGTCTTCATCATTTGGAGGTATGTCTATAAGTAATTGTCTTTTGTCCGCTGATGATCAGTTCTTCACTGACCCTATAAGAGCTTCAGCGATGCTAGTGCTTTTACATGGATTTGATCAAATATTTGGCAGATTGTACATGCATTTTATTTTGGTTATGCAGCTATAAGAAATTTTCATTGTGTTCTTAAACAATCATTTTTCTGCAAACGCAGTTCTCCAATATATATTTTATGTTGAGTTGACCATTTCTTCATTGAACACAAGAGAGTTCATGTCATCATGTGAACAAATTTCTTCCATGTGTAGACTTATTCGTTCCGAAGGGCTGAATGAATGGTTATAGCAATTTTAGAATTAAAATGAAAAATGAAAAATAACATGGAAGTCAATAAACTTTTCAAAATTTTCCTTTTGGGATTGTGAAATGTGTTAATTGTAATGATTGCTCTTTATCCCTGCTTATATGCATGTATTTATTATCATCCTTTGGTGAAGGTTTCTAGTGTTATATTGTTTGATAATACATCGACTCTTTTAATTAGGAATTGTTTGATACTTTTTCTTTGCATATTCTTTTTGATGAAGCCACTATATATTCCCTACCATTATTTTTGTTAAATGGCATTCAAGTCAGAACACAGATTGCAACTAGGAAAATTTGAAATTATTTTATCACTTATATTCCATTTATTCTATGGGTTTAATTATGTTGCCCTCTTTTCTCGCAGGTTCCTCCATTTTTGGGCAGAAGCCCCTGTTTGGAGGCTTTGGATCTACTCCTGCCCAAACAAATCCATTTGGAAGCGCAAACCAGCAATCTCAGCCAGCATTTGGAAGCACAAGCCAGCAATCTCAGCCAGCATTTGGAAGCAATGTCTTTGGTTCATCACCTTTTGGTGCTCCTAGTCAGCCTGCATTTGGAGCTACTAGCTCTCCTGCCTTTGGCACGACAAGTACTCCTGCCTTTGGTGCCACAAGCAGCGCCCCAGCATTTGGCACCACGAGTACCCCGGCATTTGGTGCCACAAGCACGCCAGCCTTTGGCGCCACAAGCACCCCTGCATTTGGCGCTGCCAGCACCCCAGCCTTCGGCGCTACAAGCACTCCTGCCTTTGGTTCTACAAGCACTCCTGCATTTGGTAGTACTGGGAGTTCATTTGGTTCATTAAGCACCCCTGTTTTTGGATCTGGAGGTGGATTTGGTGCTTCTAGTACTCCTACTTTTGGAGTTTCTAGTACGCCTGCTTTTGGGGCTTCAAGTACTCCTGCTTTTGGAGCTTCTAGCAGTCCATCCTTTAGCTTTGGGTCCACTCCTGCTTTTGGCCAGTCCACTTCTGCATTTGGTAGCAGCACTTTTGGCACTAATACATCTCCTTTTGGAGCGCAGAGTTCTCCCTTTGGTGAGGCAGTCTGAAGTATCTTACTAGTTATTGCAATTAAAATTTCTTTTGGAGCTATGGAATTTTTTGCTTCATTGGTATTGAATACGCGTTCTTTTGAATTTAATACAGGAGCACAGTCCACTACTACGTTTGGGACTAGTGGTTTTGGGCAGGCAGGTTTTGGTGGACAGCGTGGGGGCAGTAGAGTAACTCCATATGCACCAACAACTGAGCCAGATTCTGGAAGTGGCAGTACTCAAGCAGCTGGAAAGTTGGAGTCTATATCAGCCATGCCTTCTTACAAAGATAAAAGTCACGAAGAGTTGAGATGGGAGGATTATCAATTGGGAGACAAAGGTACCATTTTTTTTTTTTTTTGAAAAGTGTACAATGTTTAGCCCCTGATATTAATAGTTCTGAATATGTTTGCTCTGCAGGAGGACCTCTTCCTGCTGGTCAGTCTACTGGTGGTGTTGGCTTTGGTGTCTCTACTGCACAGCCTAACCTTCTAGCTTCTTCAACATTTAGTCAATCAAGTTCAAATCCTTTTTCTACAGCCGCATCTACCAATCCATTTGCACCTAAACCTTCTGGTTTTGGCACTTTTGGACCTTCAACGACATTTTCATTTAATTCTTCAGCATTTGCTCCATCCTCTTCATCAAACCCATTTGCATCAACGACTGCAGCATCAACATCATCATCTTTTCTATCATCAACCTCTCAATTTGGAAGCTCATCCTTATTCGGTTCATCTAACGCTCAACCCCTTGCCTCACAACCTGCTTTTAGTTCAACTACATCTCCTGGAACAAATCTTACTTTTCCTTCCAGCTTAAATTTTAGTAACACCCAATCATCTTCCCTTTTCCAATCCACAGCACCTTCAATTGGGCAGACGGGTTCAGCCTTTGGTGCTCCCTTTTCACAACCCAGCTTGTTTAGTCAACCTTCGTCTGGGGTTGGAGGGAACCTTTTCTCAAGCTCGCCATCACTCCTATCAAGCAATCCAATGGGTTTTGGTCAATCATCTGTACGTAGCCCTTTTTGATGTTACCATATTACTTGCACTTTTCTTCAGGTTGGACAATTGTGCATTGATTAATAGGTCTCATCACTTTTATGTAATTATATGTCACCATATTCCCTCCTTGTGTGTGAAGAAATGGAAATAGAAAGTTTCATAGAGTAATATGTAAGTGTATGATAATGAAATTCTATATTTGGCATTTCACATGATATTACTTCGGTAGGTGCAGGAGTTGTCACAATTTCTTCTTCTCTGACGTACTTTCTTTTGTTCACTTCATGAGTTGGGCTCTGATTTGATTTTTTTTCCACTTCAAAAACAGTGAACTTAGTAATGATTATTGATTAAGGGCTTCTGTTGTAATTTATAGTTTCAATTCATAGTAACTTGAAAATTGTAGTGTTGGTTATCTTTAGTTTTTATATAATAACAATTTGTAAACTTATTGATACTGTAGGCCTCTTTCTCTATGCCTTTTCAACAGGCACAGGCACAGGGACCCACTTCCTTTTTTAGCAACCTGGGTCAGACTCAACCAAGTAAGCTCATTTCATTAGAACTGACCAATCATTTTGTTGAGCATTCAAACCTTTTATATTAATGTACTAACTTCATTATTTTTACCCCTTAGTTGGTTCAAGTAGTTTTGCTGGAACTTCAAGCATTTTTGGGCAGAGTATCTTTGGACAATCGTAAGTCAAGCATTCCCTTGTTATTCGCTCTAATCTGCATATTTGTTGAGTTTTGATTTTCATTTGTTTTGATTTTGATTTTTTTATTTTTTGCATTTAATGAAGTTGGCGTCTCTTGATTTTGGCAAGGAAGGATTCACATAATGTTTGGTAGAAACTAAAAATCTTAGGGGGTCTCTGGTCTGGACACAAATTTTCAAAGAAAATAAATCCAAACTGGTTAATTTTTTTTTAATATTATAAATGTGTTAATTAAAATTTTGCAGAAGTGTTTTAGGATATTCTAAAAAAATGTGTTTGTTTGAACAAAAATCTTCAATGTAAAAGTGGAACATATGGTTTCTATTACAAAGTGGAAAAGTAAATTATAAATATTAGAGATGATAAAAAAAGGAAAGATATTTCTCTATATTGTTAAAGTACAGGTAAAATAACAAATGTTCATCAAAGGTATGTTCAAAACCCCTATGAGGAAAAGAATGTTAAAATGACTTGTAGCAGGACAGTACCAGCAGCCTAAGCATTCATGTATGTAAGATAAATAATCATCGAGTTATCAAATTAAAATCAGTCCAAATTAGCAATGCATTGCAGGAGGTGTTGTTCACACTCCTGTCCTTGAGATAAGGGATTTCTCTTGGCTCACTGTTTTCTTTGTGGTCCAATAAAACATTTGGCTTGATAAGAATAGGAGTTGGGTTCAGGAGGTTGCAGGTTTCTATTGCCAAAGATCTAAACCAAGCTTTCCTTAAGAGAAATGAAAAAATACATTAGGGGAAAAAAAAACTGCCCTACAGAAAAAACTTAACAAGCAACAAAAAGGACCTCTTATGCAAAAAAAAAAAAAAAAAAAAAAAAAAAAAAAAAAAAAAAAAAAAAAAAAAAAAAAAAAAAAAAAAAAAAAAAAAA